TGATTCTCTTTCATCATTAATGTTTTTATCTCTCTCCCTCCCTCTCTGAAATCAATAAAAAATATATGTATTAAAAAAAGAGACAAAGGGAGAAGATGGCCATCTAAAGCCAAGGAGAGAGGCCTCTGGAAAAAAACAATCCTGCCAATGCCTTGATCTCCTACATCTATTCTCCCGAACTGTGAGAAAGAGATTTCTGTTAAGTTTTCAGTCTGTGGTGCTATCTTAGAACACACTAGCAAATACAGATGGGATGTTAAGAGTTCTATTAAGCATGAAGAATAGGGGCTGGCAAAGAATTGCCTTCTTTCTTTTCGGAAGAGATTATTTTCATTCTGGTAATTCCAGTTTGGGAAGTAGAAAGACCTAGGGCCATTACTGTCTGATGAATAGAACCCCACACCACCCTATATGCAACTTTCATTGGTCCTAAAGATCAAAGACCTCACTTAAGCCCTGGCCGGTTTGGCTTGGTGGATAGAGCGTCGCCCTGTGGACTGAAGGGTCCCAGGTTCGATTACGGCTAAGGGCACATGCCCGGGTTGTGGGTTTGATCCCCAGTGGGGCACGTGCAGGAGGCAGCCGATCAATGATTCTCTCTTATCATTGATGATTCTATCTCTCCCTTTTCCTTCCTTTCTGAAATCAATAAAAAAAAAATTAAAAAAATATTTCAAGGACCTACTTCACAAATGTTTCCTTCAAAGATGATTGTATATACATCTTTTGTAGAGTGAGTACCTTTTAAATGCATAGAGAAATTAAATTTTTGCCCTGGCCGGGGTAGCTCAGTTGTTTAAAGCATTGTCCCAATACACCAAGGTTTCAGGTTCAATCCCCGGTCAAGACATTCACAAGAAACAACCAATGAATGCATAAATAAATGCAACAAAAAAATCGATGTTTTTCTCTCTCTCTCCCTCTTCACTCCTCTCTCTCTAAAATAAAATTAAAAATTTAAGAAAATAAAGTGTTAATTAAACTAACAACTTGAAAGAATCACACTGAGTCGGGATTCAATCCCAAGTCTCCCTGACTCCACACACGGTGCTTTATTTTCTCCAGCATTATTAGTGTTTTTGCTTGTCTCTCCCCCACTGCATTATAAGTTCTTGAGACAGAAACTCTGTTTTGTTGTTGTTGTTGTTTTTGGTTAATCCTCATCCGAGAATATTTTTCCATTGATTTTCAGGGAGAAACACATCAATTGGTTGCCTCCTACCAGCGCCCCAACCAGGGCCCAGGCCAGGGAGGAGCCTGCAACCAAGGTATGTGCCTTTGATCAGAATTGAACCTGAGACCCTTTGGTCAGCAGGCCGACATTCTATCCATGAGCCAAACTGGCTAGAGCAGGAACTCTGTCTTTTCATGTCTGTATTTCTAGCACCTAGCACAGGACTTAGCTCATAGTAAACATAATATATATTTTTTAAATGAAAAGTGATGCCTTCGGTAGTTACCTTTCAAAATTCTCCCTATATTTACAAGAGAGATGCAGAAAGCAATACACACCTACATATCCAAATTAGAACTTAGCAAGTTTTAGAGGTGGAAAGAATAGTAGACAAGTTTGACCTCGGTTTTATTGTATGCCCACTATGTGCCCAGCTCTGTTCTGGGTGTTGTGAACCAATTTTTAACCAATTTCCCCTGGGCCAGCATGGTTCAGTGAATAAAATGTTGAATCAGAGGCTATGCTGGTTTGATTCCCTGTCAAGGGCACATGCCTCGGTTGCAGGTTCACTCCCCAACCCCAAGATGGGGTGTGGCAGGAGGCAACAGTCCATGTATCTTTCACATCAATGTTTCTCTCTCTTTCCCCCTCTTTCTTCCACTCGCCCTAAAAAAAATAAAAAATAAAAATCAATGGAAACCCTCCTTCCCTCCCACTCTCTATGAAAAAGCAATGTTAGAAAAAAAAAAATCTCTGTCCTGGCCAGTGTGGCTTAGCTGGTTGAGCATCTTCCCAAGCACCAAAAGGTTGCAGGTTCAATTCCCAGTTACGACACATGCCCAGGTTGCAGGCTGCACTGGTGTTTTTCTCTCTCCCTTCCTATCTGTCTCTCTTTCTCTAAAATCAATAAAAACATATTTTTTAAAAATCTTGCCCTAGCAGGTGTGGCTCAGTTGGTTGAGATTGTCCTGTGCACTGAAAGGTCACCGGTTCCTGGTCAGAGCACATGCCTAGGTTGCAGGTTCAGTTCCTGGTCTGGGTACGTTGGGGAGGCAACCAATAGATGTTTCTCTCTTACACTGATGTTTGTCTCCCTCCCTTTCCTTTCCTGTTTTTCTAAAAATAAATACATAAATTAATTAAATAATAAAGTAAATTAAAACATTTTTAAATTAATTAATTAACTAATTAAAATGTAAGATTTCCTGACAGCCCTGGCCTGGAAGCTCGGTTGGTTGGTTGGTTGGTTGGTTGTCCCATGCACCAAAAAGGTTGTGGTTTGGTTCCTAGTCGGGGCATGTACCTAGGTTCTTACAGGAGGCATCTGATCGATGTTTCTTACACTGATGTTTCTCTCCCTTCCTCTCTCTCTCAAATCAATAAACATTGATTTAAAAAAAAATCAGGTGAGGATTTAAAAAAAAAAATCCTTGACATAGTGCTTCACTATAGTAGGTGATAAATAAATGGCTACTGAAAAATGGAAGAGACAGACTAGGGGAAAGTGGGTGGCCAGATACTCCAGGCAGGGGAAATTGTGTGAATAATAAACGCAGGGCACGCTCAAAGACCAGTCTGGTTGAAGGGATTGTTCAGTGTAGTGGAAGAGAAAATTATAGAGGTAACATTTGATTGTATAGTGCAGCCATGGGCAAACTACGGCCCGTTTGAAATGAATAAAACTATTGAAAAAAAAGACCGTACCCTTTTATGTAATGATGTTTACTTTGAATTTATATTAGTTCACACAAACACTCCATCCATGCTTTTGTTCCAGCCCTCCGGTACAGTTTAAGAACCCATTGTGGCCCTCGAGTCAAAAAGTTTGCCCACCCCTGGTATAGTGTCTTGACTGCTAGGCTAAGGAATTTATTTCTTCCTGTTACTAATCCCTGCTAAAATGCTTTTTGAGGAGGAATTTGAATTTCGATAGAAGCTGAATGTCTCTAGAAGCAGCAAAGCCTCCTTAGAGACCCTGAGGAATTAAGCTGTAATGGTGGAATGACAGGTGGAAGGGGTGGATATTTTAGATGAGGAGGCCACCCCCTCAGATCTTCTGCTGATATGGTGCCGGTTCTGCCACTTGAGGGTGGGCCAGCTGTGATCACTAAAGAAAGAATATTTTCACTGAGCACTCCTTGCCTATCAATCTTAAGTGACTGAATAAATTTCAGCACAACTTTTATATTGAGCTTCGAAGAATGTACTCATGTTAGCCCTCAGGAAAAACCTGCTCTGATGAGGATGAGAATGGTTCCCAGCCTGCCTGAGGAAGAAAATGCCCCTTCGCCCCTCCCACAGCACACTAGGGAGGGAAGGAAAGGGTTTAACAACCTGTCAGCTCAGACCTCCCCTGACATTCTCCCAGCCAAATGATAATCTCCCCGCAGCTTGGGCCCTGTTCCGTGCCAAAGATAGTTCCCTATGGCTTTTTGCAGGGACAGAAAGGCTACACCTGCTGACTTCTTAAAGATCAAATGCCTCTTGGTTGAAGGCATTGTGCCTTTTGCCACAATGCTTCTCGTACTGGGCTCTGCTCTGGGGGAAATTGTTAAGTAGGTCATAAGTAGGTCATGGATCTGGGAAATGACTTGTGAGTTCATCTTTAGCTTCCTGACAGGCAAGAAAACATCTTTTTTAAAAAAAAATGTGTTTATTGATTTCAGAGAGGAAGGGAGAGGAAGAGAGAGATAGAAACATCAATGATGGGAGTCCTTGACTGGTTGCCTCATGCATGCCCCCCACTGGGAATTGAGCCCACAACCTGGGCATGTGCCCTGATCAAGAATTGAACTGTGACCTCCTGTTTCACAGGTTGATGCTCAACCACTGAGCCACCTCACCAGGCAAAACATCCTTATTGAAAAAATATATATACTATTTTTATTGATTGTAAAGAGAGGGAAGGAGGGAGAGAGAGAAACATCAATGTTAGGGAAACATCAACCAGTTGTCTTCAGACCTGGGATCGATCTGGTGCATGGGACAACATTCAACTGAGCCACTCTTGCCCTGGCCAGTGTGGCCCAGTTGGTTGAGCATTGTCCCATGCACCTAAAGGTCACCAATTAGATTCCCAGTCAGGACACGTGCCCAGGTTTCTGTTTTGATCCCCAGTTGGGGTGCATGCAGGAGGCAGCTAATCAATGTTTCCCTCTCACATTGATGTTTCTCTCTCCTCCCTTCCTCTCTCTCAAAAAAATTAATTTTAAAAAAAGTGTGTCATGGCTAAAGCTGTCATATTGTGAATGCTACAAAAATATATTGTTCAGCATTCAAATGCTGTTTTTCAATTTGGCAAGGAAGTTACTCACTTCACTGATGAATGAGTGAAGTTCTTATACTTTGCCTTACTCTATTACAGCGGTTCTCAACCTATGGGTCGCGACCCCTTTGGCCGTCGAACGACCCTTTCACAGGGGTCGCCTAAGACCATTCTGTATATCCGATATTTACGTTACTATTCATAACAGTATCAACATTACAGTTATGAAGCAGCAACGAAAATAATTTTATGGTTGGGTCACAACATGAGGAACTGTATTTAAAGGCCCAGAAGGTTGAGAACCACTGTTCTATTGTGTAATAAGAACTATGTATACTTTGTTCCTGCTTCCTGGCACAGAGCTCCTAAAACCTTTGTAATTTCCTCAGTTATAGGCAAGCCCTTTGTTATTTCTAACAATCCCTTCCTCTCCCACCTGAGTTGTTTCCTGCTAATGAGATGAAGTGGGGGGGAAGGGAGGAGTACCTAGTAGCTCAGTTAGGGCTAGTTACCAGAAAGACTCAATGACTAGGGTCGGAACTCTTAGCCCCATCCACCAACCTCGGGAATATGTGATGAGCTTCTGGGTTGGTAAATGCATTCATCTGCCAAGGAAGATGGCACACCTCATTTCCACTCCTACACTCAGGCTCCTTCTGGACCTTGTGTTGTGTATCTCTTCATCTCGATGTTCATCTGTATCCTTTATAATATCCTTTTTTAAAAGAAAATAATATTCTTAATAATAAACTGGTAATCATAAGTAAATGTTTGCCTGAGCTGTTCTAACAAATGATCAAACCCTAGAAGGGGGGTTATAGGAACTTCTGTTTTACAGCTAGTCAGTCAGAGGCAGAGGTGACAATCTGGACTTGCAAATAGCTTCTGACGTGGTGAGGGCAGTCTTTCCTGAAGCCCTTACCTATGGGATCTGACCCTACCTCCAGGTAGATAACATCAGAATTTAGTTAAATTATAGGATACCAAGTCTGCATCCGCCTGAGAATTTTTCTTTTTAAATATATTTTTATTGATTTCAGAGAGGAAGGAAGAGGGAGAGAGAGATAGAAACATCCATGATGAGAGAGAATCATTTATCAGCTGCCTCCCGCAAGTCCCCCACTGAGGATCGAGCCCATAACCTGAGCATGTGCCCTTGATCGGAATTGAACCTGGGACCCATCAGTTCACAGGCCGACGCTCTATCCACTGAGCCAAACCGGCTAGGGCCGCCTGAGAATTTGAAAATTGACTAGTGGTACTAGAAAACACTCCACCTATCAATGAAAATATCAGCCAGCATTTATGTTGGAACTGCACTTGTGTAGTCAGTTGCAATGATAGAATAGCTATGAATATAAGAGTTTGCAAATGTCAACAAAAGCATTCAGTGAGAATATGGAATTTATAATAAATACTAGAGGCCCGGTGCACAAAAATTTGTGCACTCGGGGGGTGGGGGGGGTCAGGCGGTCCCTCAGCCCGGCCTGTGCCCTCTCACAGTCTGGGACCCTTCGGGAGATAACAACCTGCTGGCTTAGGCCTGCTCCCGGGTGGCAGAGGGCAGGCCCACTCCCTAGGGGCAGCCCCTGGTCGGGCTCAGAGCAGGGCCGATTGGGGAGTTGGGCCGCCGCCCCGTCATGCACCGAGCAGGGCAAAAAAATGGAAATTTTC